ATGTCTTTCACACACCCTACCACTCATTGTAGTGGGTAAAAGAGACCCAAAAGTAAAATAAATTCACCTGAATGCAGAATGACAACGAAATTTACCCGTGTGAAGGTGTTTTTACTTGATCGAAATTGCAAAATTATTTCTGCCTTGTCACAAATTACGAATAATTTGACAATTAAAATAAAGTTTAATAACATTTTCCCTCCTATGTAGGAGTTTTCAGTTCAAATATAGTTATTTGATTTATTGACAATTAACATTCCAGACAATGCGTATTTAGTTTAATTATGTCATATTCAAGCTTATTTCAGATGTCATATTATTATCTTGAAATTAAAATTAACTAAACCCTTTTTGCCAAAGTTTGTTTTTAATAATGCTTTATTGTCTGCAAGTTTGTTAAATCGCAATATATTAATTTATTACAACTAGTCTTGTCCATATTTGGAGTGGTATATTTTTAATGAAATTCATCATAAAAGAAAAATTTTGAAATATTTGTTTATGGGACACTTTTCTTAACTCTGTGTGACTGAATATACTTGTTCCGTGCTATTCGTCTGTTTTCTCTATAGCTTAGCTAGTTCTGGGAGTCTAGCTAGATGTTGGAGAGCCTGCTACAGAGATTTCTGAGTCAGTCAGGCTTTACTAGTGTAGCAACCCGCTACAAGTTCAAAGTGATCGCAAAATGATATGAAAGAAAAACCATGAAAGTGATAAATATCAGTGTTTTAAAATGCTGACAATAGGTGAACAACTAGTGAAGTTGGAAATGCCAGTAATATTTTCTGGTTTTCTCATCGTTGTCAGTCATACTACCTCTTCAAATTAAGCTTTTACAGAATTAAGCTGAATGGATGTTTCAATATTTTGAACTCGCTATTTATCTGAACTTCAAATAAAATAAGCTACCCATATTCCCTGAAACTATGTGACCTTCTATCTCTTCAACATAATTATTGTCTTAGTCAAATTATTATATTTATTATTATTTGTTACGTAGTTTTTATAATTTTTATTTGTTAAAACTTTTTGGTCTATTACTGAATCGTATATAGTTTTGGAATTCAATTCGTATTAGCAATTACATTGGTATAGTAGTTTTCAATAAACGCCATTCATAATATTAAATGAAAAGGGGTGTGCGATAGACTTACCTCCACGTGGTGCGCCCTGGGCAATGTATACTCATACGGTAAAAGAGTCGATTAATCGGCAGTTGACTTTTAACTTCAAACTATCATGACTAATATTTGAATCCTTCCACAGTACTCAACTCATCTTTTTCTCTGACTTTGTCAGTCTCTTTTACATCTGTGAATCATTATTCTGTCCCCATCTCGACTTTTAGTCACTTTGATGTTCCTTCTCCTCCTCTCTGTGAAGCCCCAAGTCAGCTGAAGTGCTAATGATAACTACCAAAACGCCTGCCACTTGGAAAACAAATATTTAATGAAAAAATACTTTATTGTTTATGTGCTTCAAATTTTATCGTCAGAAGTAATTGCCAATTTGCCTCAAATTTTCCTACCAGATTTTTCCTCCTTCCTTTGATAAACAATATTTTAGAACAAAAAGCTGATTCAATAATTAATGACTAAGAGTTTAAGTGAGCAATAAGAAATAGTTCATTATTCCGATGTCATAACTATCAAAAATTACATGATTAAAAGGTGATTGCCTCTTTTTTTGGCAAGGCTTTAATTAAAATAGTAACAATTCTAGAGCTGTATTAGGTCCATTGTACAGAAAAATAAATACGCCCTCAAAGCTCAAACGAATAAGCAATTTATTGCATTGTAATAAGTAATGTCAAATTAGGAGTATAATACTAATACTCATTCACCCTTAAGAAAACTAAAAACAAATTTATTTGCAAAAAGCAACAAGTAAGCATTAAAGGAATCGATATAATTCATTTATGAATCTAACCACTTTTCGTGATTGCTCTTATTCACTAATACGGTTGCTGGTTGCCAATTGTCTTTGTTTTATCCTGACATTTAAAACTATTTTTTTATTTTTAATTAAGTATTAAAGAAAAATTTTTAAATACAGAAAAGCAATGCGCGCCTTTTGATCTTATGCAAACCTTCACATTGTGGGGAAAAATCATCCACCACCCGATAGACACTGTAGGTCATGTTTATTGAATTTGCCGAATAGTACAATTCTGTATGATTGGTGACTTTTGCACTATAGTGCTGCGGATTGACTTAACCTCCCGCTGGAGAGCATGGAACTACAGTTGACTCAGACTAGAAAGAGAGAGAGAGAGTGAGAGAACCAAGTCAGGAAGACGGTTAACTCAAAAATCTTCTGATCAAAGGCATTTTGATAGGAAAACGAGTTTTCTTCAAGCCGAGAATACAAGACAACGCTGAAGCGATGGCAGGGAGAAGCCATCTATATTTTTTATCGTCATGAAACAAAATTCTTGTTATTACGGCAATATATCCAGTAAAGTTTTGCGTGTGAGTGATGCTTACAAAGGCTAAAATAGTCCGATATAGCTGAGAATATTTCTATTTTAGGAACAAATTGTTTCGTTTCAGTTCAAATCCCAGAGGGAATAAGATCTTTTGTCGAAAAAAAATTTCTTAATAAACTTACCAAGGCCTTAGATTTCAAAAGAATACATCGACTGATAAGCATTTTCATGCTACTTAATTTGTACAAAATATTCTTAAAGTCAACTTAAACCTTGCCATGTTGTTCAACGTTTTGTTTGCTGAGTTGCAAAAAAACGACTTTATCATTGATACATGCTACTTTTATCTCAAATATGCCCGTACAAACGATCAATCTGAATAACTTTTGGGCTTAGTTGAGAGAAAGGCCTAATTTTATCTTAAAACTGTCTGCAAGGAAAATTGCGAATTTAGGTAACGTCATGTCTGTGGGTCAAAAATGACAGTTCCTCACTTTATCTAAAACTTGTTTCTCTTGTGTTGCGACATAAAAAGTTTTAAGGATTTACTAATTTAAGCGCAATATTGCGTGTCGTGAAATATAAAACCATCATTTATTTATTTCAAATGGCAGGCGTTTTGATAGTTATCATTAGCACTTTAGTTGACTTCGGGCTTCACTGAGGGGAAGGAACGTCAAAGTGAAAAAGTCGAGAGGGTGGGGGAGGGAACAGAAGAGTGTTTCAAAGAGGTGAAAGAGACAGACACAAA